AACCACAAAAGAAAACTTCCCCCTTTAGAAGACTTTCAAGCAAGGAGAAGCGGGTGTACAATTCTAGAAACTCCCATTGGGGTTGATTGTGTAAAAAGGATGTAAATTGACTGGTAGCTATTACATTGTACAGATTATTATTGTTGATATTGCATGTAATGAATATATACCTGTTTTAGAATACTATGAATAATACACAATGCACTTTGTAAGATGGAACATATAGAACACTTTAACTTATAAAAAAGTTTTTTGCAGTGTATATATTTGTTGATTTGCTGGAGATTAAGCCTGTGGAGGGGGGCTGGTGCCGGAGTTGATCCTCTGCTGCGTACCAGTTGAAATGTCTGGTGCAGCCTTTTGAGTTACACAGAACTCTTTGTCGTCAGAGACAAAAGGGAGCTCATCCCCTGAAAATTTTGCGGGTCTCTGGAGTGCTCCTAGACTCAAATCCAGCTGTTTGGGATCGATTTTTATTTGCAAGGGGCGGGCTTTTGGGGAGGGGTCATGCAGACTTTGAGGCACGCAGATCTGGCAGGTGAACCTAACCGGGTTTGACAGCCACGTTCACCTGTTGGCAGAGCCTCGCTCTGTGTGCCTGCCCCTCCCACCCACCTCCGACAGCAGCTGTTGTGGGGGTCTTGACCTTCTGTCTCCCCAGGCCTGTTTGCAGCATCTGTGCGGCTGGGGAAATCAATTCTTGCCCAGGGTCATGAATGTCTAGGTCTGCTCATTCAATGGCATGGGGGGGGGGGTATTATGGCAAAAAATGCACATGTGTGAAATAAACTCAGTGATGACACATGGACTGGAATGCCAAAGAGACCGTTTTTCTAAAAAAAATACAGTGTTTGTAGTCACTGACTCATTGAATGAGTGGGTTACTTGATTTATGCCACCGGCAGCTGAGTGTTCAGCGGAGAGGACCAGTCAGTGGGGGGAAGAGGGAAGCTGGGACTCCCGTTGGACTGTTGGAGAGCACCCGTGCATGCATGAAATGCTGACCCATTTCTCTGTACTGTATTTTCTGAAGATACAAAAATAAAACTGACGAACAGGATTAAACTGCTTGCAAAAAACCCCATAACAGCCTGTCAAAAAACTGACTTCCTGCTCACAGCTGGTGAGCACAACGTGAGGCGAACTGGCAGGTGCTCAGGCAAAAACCCCTGGCTTTGCAAGGGAGAGGGGGAAGCGCGGGGAATGCGTGAACTCTTGCTGAAGCCTTCATCGGGTTAGTGCGGTTAATCAGCCTGGCAAGGTCTGCCCCACTCCCATTTTGCTTCAATTAATCATGTATAACGATCCACAACTCAAATGGGGTCAAGGTCGACAAGTGGTCAGACCCCCCCACACACACACTTGCAGCAGCCCAGGCAAGGAGCATTAATCTGATTGCCCCTTCAATGGGGGTTTATTTATTTTAAATTTATTTATATTTTAAATTTCCCACCTGGGAACCAGCCGTGTCTTGCTGAGATCTGTTGAGGCATCAGTCTTTTTATATTGATTGCTGCTTTAGATAGATTTTTAGATAGACTTTAACTGTCGGTTTATTATAGTGTGTGTGTGTTTTTAATGATGGAACCTGCCCTGAGCACACTTAATAGAATAAAATAAATGAATAAATAAATCGCCCAATCCCTGAGTTCACAGGGCTCTGGACGATGAACAACAGTAAAGTACACCATAGCCTTGTTAAAATTATAACCATTACATAAAATCATTTCATTCTTTGAACAATCCCCAGATGGCGTGTGAGTCTATCTTTGCCAGCTCTGGACTGTGTTGCTGCCTCGCAGGCAGGACAAGGAGGCGGCAAAAAAGAGAGGAAAGGGGGGAGGGGGGTGCCGGCCATAATGAAGCCCACTGCTGCCCTCAACCACAGGCCTGGCGGGACATCTCTGCCTTACAAGCCCTGCAGAATTGCCTTAAGTCCCGCAGGCAATACTCCCTCTAAGGTGTGGAGTCTTGTGAGCAAAAATTCTACTTTATGTAAATGGTAAAGGTTCCCTTGCTCGAAAGCCAGTCGACTCCGACTCTAGGGTTGCGGTGCTCATCTCCGTTTCAAAGCCGAAGAGCCAGCGCTGTCGGAAGACGTTTCCGTGGTCATGTGGCCGGCATGACTAAACACCAAGGTGCACGGAATGCTGTTCCCTTCCCACTGAAGCGGTACCTATTTATCTACCTGCAATTTCTTGCTTTCGAACTGCTAGGCACTCAAGCTGTGAGTGAGCGATTTGGTTCCTGCATGAATTAATCTGCTCTGGAGCCATCTTTCCTGAGCTAAGAGAAAAATGTGTGAGCTGGAGGCTGAAAAACTGAGCTAGCTCACAGTAACTCAGCTTAGAGGGAACAGTCCCCGCAGGGCATGGATGTCATTCGGAAGGTCAGGCAGGCTGAGAAGGCCCCGGTTCTAGTCGAGGACAGCCAGATGTCTTTGGGGCCACAGATCTCCGGCAGGTTGTTCTTAGCAGAGCGCAACACTCTTTGGGGGGGGGACATGCCACAGGAGGCGGTCCTGAAGACACGCAAGTCCTAGACCACCCAAGGCCTTAAAGGTCAATACCAGAACCTTGAACCTGACTCAGTGCTCCACTGGAAGCCGGTGTCGTTGGGCTGAACTCTCGCTGCCACATTCTGGATCAGTTGGAGAAGTTTCCAGGTCAGTCTCAAGGGCTGGCCAGTGTAGAGCGAGTTACAGTAATCAAGCCTGGCGGTGATCATTGCACGGATTACTGTGGCTAGGGCAGGGCGCAACAGGAAAGGGGCTAGTTGCCACGCTTGGCATAGATGGAGGACAACCAGCCTGGCAGCAGTCGTGACCTGGGCCTCCGTGGATAGGGAGGTGTTCAGGAACAAACCCAAACTCTTGACACCTTGCGCCAGTGTCCGTGGCGCCCCATCAAGAGCAAGAAGTTTGCGCCCCAACCAATGCTCCTTCTAAGCTGTGGAGTCTTGTGAGCAAAAATTCTACTTTGTGAGCTCCTGGCATTAAAGTTGTGAGCCAGCGATTTGGCTGCTGCATAAATGAGTTTGTTCAGCTCCTCCCTGAGCTGAGACAAAAATGTGTGAGCTGGAGGCTAAAACTCTGTCAGCTAGCTCACACTCCGGGGTCATTTCCTGCGGGAGTGCACAGGAGTGGCGCTCCGACAGTAAGAAGCCCAGGGGGCGGGCACATGCAACAAGCCCCACCCCCTGCTCCCAGCAGCCCTCAGTCAGGCCATGAGGAGCAAGAAGCAGCCAGGTAAGTTGCAGAGCCCCCCCAGCCCACCTTCAGGTACAAGCTTTCCCTCCTCCGTGAGGGCAGATCTGCACGTTCACCCCCCCCCCCCATAGCTAGCAATCCAAAACAGTCCAGTGGCACCTTTAAGACCAAGTTTTTTTCAGGGACAAGCTCTCCCTCCTCTGCGAGGGCAGATCTGCACGTCCTCCCCCCACGCCCCACTACCTCGCCATCCTACAGTCCAGTGGAGCCTGAGTGGTGGGTGTTGCCTTCTGACACACTTCCGGTGATGCCAGGGGGTGTGGCATATGCAGATGAGTTATGCTAATGAGCTCCTGCACCTCTTTTCCTACGAAATGACCCCTGCTCACACTCACTTGGCTTAGAGGGAACACTGGCCCCAAGCCTCGAGGCCGCCCCCCCCCCCAGCCAGCCACAGAACCACCGTCTTTGCTGGATTGAGTCTCAGCCGGCTCTTTTTAACCATCCCACCACAGCCTCCGAACCCGTGGCCGAATGACGAGAGAGTCTGCAGAAGCTAAGCAGGTGTGTGTCTGGACCAGGCAGGTCGACGACCTTCAAGGTCCCTTCCAACACTGACACTCTGCGAAGAAAGGGCACCTCCAGACGAGGAGGCAGCAGCGCTCTGAACCGGGGTGTGGGGGGGCGGCAGTGTGGGGGGTGGCGGCAGCGCCTAGGCCCTGCTCAGGGGGGGGGGCCTCCTCTGTGGCCACTGGGGTGGCCTCAGTGTGAAAGAAGACGCAGGCCTGACCCAGCAGAACTGGCAGGAGGGGGGGGCAGGCAAGCACGAGCCCCCTCCCGCTGGAGTTGGGGGTCAGGCTGGGAAGAAAGAGCCCGGCCCTCGGGGCTGTGTGGGCCATTCTGGGGGTAGGGTGAGGGGAGACCCCCCCCCGGGTACAAGCCACCCACCCACCCCGGACATGAAAGCCCAACTGTGGGAGGGGGGTGGGCTGGAGGAGGGGGGGCCTGGCTCTCCAGAGGGGCACAGGTGAGACTCGGGCAGTAGGAGAATTCATCAGAAGAGAAGAGAAGCCAAGTGGGATCAGGCCAGTGGCCCACCCAGCCCAACGGATCCGGCAGACGGAAAGGGAGTGCTTCTGGCGCTGTGGTGGCCGACTGCCCGGAGACAGAAAATGTCCTGCCCCGTTGGCAAAGGCTTAGTGGGATGCGATGTCCCAGGGGATGTTAGTTACCTCCGCGCCAGGAGAAACTTCATAGAATGTTAGAGTTGGAACTGGGACCTTGCAGGTCATCTAGTCCAACCCCCTGCACTCTGCAGGAGCATAGCTGAAAGACAGCCCTACAACATACCTAAAAGAGGGTCTTCCAGCCTCCCCTTCAGGCTCCCTTTCCATGCATGAAGCCTCCATTCAGAGGGCAAGACACTCCCCCCCCCCCGGCCTGTTGGCAACCCCATTCTGAGCATGTGCAGAGCTGCGTCCTGGCGGTTGAGATGGAGGTACCTGGTCTTCCCCAGCAGCAGGGGGCGCCATTTCCAGACAGCCTCATGCCCCCCCGGACCCCTTTTTGAGGAAATGGGCCCCTGTGCAGGAGGACCTCAGGTGGGGAGCAGGAACCCCTCATTAAGGGAGACAGCAGCAGACGACCCCCGTGTGGAAGGACACCTTTTTATTCTCTAAACTCTGTGAACACAAACACATGCACACTCCCTGCCCTGCCCTGTCCTGCCCACCCCTCTGCCGGGACTTCCCTGGGGCACGGAGCGGAACGGCCCCCTGGTGCCCGCCCAGGCTCAGTGCCTGGAGGCGGGCAAGGGCTTGACTAGGCAGCTCTCGATGTGCTCGAAGATGGTGTAGGGGTCCTGGTCGGCATTGAGGGGGATGCCATCCTCGTAGAACTCCTCCAGCTCCCGCACTTGCTGGTTGTACAAGTCCACCTTCACCTCCACCCTGCCGGGCTGGTCCCTGGGGTTCTGGCGCAGGCGCTGGTTCACCTCGGTGTCGGTGGGCGGCTTGAAGGTGCTGTGGTACCTCTCCCCCGAGACCGGGTCCGTAGCCCGCTGGCAGACGCGCTGCACGGCCACCTCCACCGGCAGGTTGAGGAAGAACACCCGGTTGGGCTCGAAGCCGGTGTGCTTCATGGCGGCGGCCTGGTCGACGTCGCGGGGGAAGCCGTGGAGCACCCAGCCGCGGCTCAGGCAGTCCGGCTGGTTCAGGCGGTCCCTCAGCACCCTCAGGACGACATTGTCGCTCACGGGGTAGCTGGTCTCCAAGGAGGGCCTGATGAGCTCGCCCAGCGGGGAGCGGTCGGCCACCTTCTCCCGCAGCAGGTCCCCCAGGCGGAGGCTCACCAGGCCGTACCTCTGGGCCAGCAGGGCCGCCTGCAGACGCTTGCCGCTGCCGGGCGGGCCCAGGAGGAGGACGCGGGGGAGGAAGGGCGCCTTGGAGAGCGGGCGGCTCTGCACGAAATGCAGGGCCTGGGCAAAGACATCCACGCAGGGCTGGTCGGCGTTGATGGCCTTGTGGTTCCCCGAGTAGGCCTGCAGGATGCCGGGGATGTTGCGGTGGCTCTCCAGGAGGCGGCCGGCGGTGTCTTGCTCGGAGATGCCCTCCGGGGCCACTAGGCGCCGCTGCACCATGAAGTCGACCGGCCAGTCAAAGGTGGCGTGGTAGACCTCGTGGGTGAAGGGGTCCAGCAGTTTGCCCAGGTTCCTCTCCACCAGGACGGTGTCCGGAGCGTAGAGCACCACGACGTGTCTCGGGGCAATGCCCTTTTCCTGCAGCAGCAGGGCCTGGTTCCTCGTCTCGGGGAAGCCGTCCAGCACCCAGCCCAGCCTCACGCAGTCCTGGGCAGACAAGCGCTCCTCCAGAAGGGTGACCCACAACTCATCCGGAATCGCCCCCTGCCGGGACAGGCAGGAGAGGGCCTCCTTGGACTTTTTGAGCTTCCTGTCTTCCGCGAGGTCCTGGGGGCACAGGTAGGTCGCGCTGAGGTGCTTGCAGATCCAGCGGGAGATGGTGGTCTTGCCTGAGGCGGGCGGCCCCAACACCAAGACCCGGGGCACCTCGTCTCTCCCCTTCTGCAGGTGCTCAATCAGGAAGTCTACAGGGTCCGCCGGACGGTAGATGAGGAGAGCTTCCATGAGGGTCTGCATGAGCTCGAAGATCCGGTGCTTTTCGGCATACAGCGCCATTGCCGGAGGGATCTGGTGGGGCCCGCTAGTGGCATCCATCTCTCCCCGGGTTCTGCCTGCCGGAGCCAGACTCTGAAACTGAACTCGCATTCCGAGGTTCCCGAGCGGCACATGGTGATGTCACAGTCCTTGGAAGCAGCATGTGGAATTAATGCACACCAGCACACGCACACGCACACAACCAGCATCACCCACAGCACTAACCTGTTACCATAGAATGGCCAGCCCTTAAGAGGAATGTTGCAGGCCCCTTGCAGGATCTGGCTACACGCTGAGCAATTCTGCCTCCACGTTCTGCTACTACTCGTCTCACCACACAGGGCCATGGAGAGCATGCAGGTGGAGGGGCTGTGGCTCAGTGGAAGAGCCTCTGCTTGGCATGCAGAAGGTCCCAGGTTCAATCCCCAGCATCCCCAGTTAAAAGGAGCAGGCAGCAGTTGATGGGAAAGACCTCCACCTGAGACCCTGGAGAGCTGTCAAGAGGGGACGTGGCTCAGTGGCAGAGCCTCTGCTTGGCACGCGGAAGGTCCCAGGTTCAACCCCCGGCATCTCCAGTGGCCAGGTCTACCAATATAGTGGACTGGGTTGGGTAGACCTGTTCTCCAGAGGCCAGGTCTACCAATACAGTGGAAAGGGGTGGGTAGACCTGTTCTCCAGAGGCCAGGTCTACCAATACAGAGGACTGGGGTGGGTAGACATGTTCTCTGGAGGCCAGGTCTACCAATGCAGTGGAAAGGGGTGGGCAGACCTGTTCTCCAGAGGCGAGGTCTACCAATACAGTGGAAAGGGGTGGGCAGACGTGTTCTCCAGAGGCCAAGTGTACCAGTACAGTGAAAACAGGTGGCTGAAAATGGACTAGATTCTTTTTTCTCTTGTAATGTTTAAAGTATTCTTAAAATATAGCGTAAATATAATTTAAAAGAATTTATTCTGAGATTTTTACGAGGTTATGGAAGAAATCTTCTAAAAAAACCCAATTGACGTGATAGTCAATGTAGACTCGCTCACAACTTTAATGCTGCTAGCTTTTTTTCACTCACGAGGTAGAATTTCTGCTCACGACCCTGTGGACCTTCAAGGGAACACAGAGGGGTGGGGGACGGACGGACGAGTGAGCCGCAGGCCTGGGAGCCCGTTGGTGCAGAAGAGGGGCAGAGAGAGAGACAGAAAAAGAACACCACCAAGTCTTGACTTTTAAACTGAATTCTAATCACCAGGGGTCATTTCCTGCGGGAGCGCACAGGAGCGGAGCTCTGGCAGTAAAGAGCCCAGGGGGCGGGCACATGCAACAAGCCCCACCCCCTGCTCCCAGCAGCCCTCAGTCAAAGCAAGAAGCCCCCCCGGCCCAAAACAGTCCAATGGCACCTTTAAGACCAAGGTTTATTCAGGCACAAGCTCTCCTTCCTCTGCGAGGACAGATCTGCACGTCCCCCCCCCCCAATAGCTAGCAATCCAAAACAGTCCAGGGGAGCCTGAGCGGTGGGTGTTGCCTTCTGACACACTTCCGGTGATGCCAGGGGGTGTGGCATCTGCAAATAAGTTATGCTAATGAGCCCCTGCACCTCTTTTTTCTACGAAATGACCCCTGCCAATCACATTCTAATTTGCTTCATATCTTATTGCCGAGTTGCATTTTCCAGTTGTGGTGCTGGCTGCCCTGAAGACGGTATTGCCAAATTTGTTTGACTTGGTCAACAGAGAGAGATCAGAGCTCTTCCCTCTGAAAGCCAGGAGAGAAACCACAGCAACCACGCTCAGGTCTGCGGGAATCCAGTCTGGACGGCTGCGTGGCTGTGTCCGGACAGCACAGCGTGGAGGCCGCCTCCCTCCGCTCGGGCCTGGGGATAGAGAGGGGGAGGCCATTCCCCGCCCGTCTGCAATCGGCTGGGCTTTGAGGTTTCCTGATCCACTGCCTCCATTCCCAGCAGCCCTCTCTGCAAAGCCCCTGCAGGGCAGGGCAGGACAGCCACCCCTCAGGCAGGCTGCGGCTCAAAGAGTCAAGACAGTCTGGTGGCCCCACCAGAGCAGCCCAGTCGTTCTCCAGCCGTGGGGTGGGACCCAGAAGTGAACAGGGGTGAAGGAAGAAGAAGAGAAGAGATTGGATGTATACCCCATGGCCCTTCACTACCCAAGGGAGTCTCAGAGCGGCTCGCAAACTCCTTTCCCTTCCCTTCCCCACAACAGACACACCCTGTGAGGGAGGTGGGGCTGAGAGAGCTCTGACACAAACTGCTCTTTTTCAAGGACAGCTCTTGTTAGAACTACGGCTTGCCCAAGGTCATCCAGCCAGGTGCACGTGGAGGAGGAGTGGGGGACCAAACCCAGTTCTCCCAGATTAGAGTCCGCGCACTTCACCACGACACCAAACTGGAGGAATGGAGGAATCTCTGGGAGGCTCAGCGGCACAGATGGGCTGTAGGGTTGCCACCTCCGTGTTGGAAAATTCCTGGAGATTGGAGGGTGGAGTCTGGGGAGGGTGGGGGTTGGGAAGGGGAGGTGCCTCCGCAGGATATGATTCCACAGAGACCACCCTCCAAAGGAGCCGTTTCCTCCTCCAGGAGAACCGATCTCTGTCATCCGGGGATCAGTTGTATCTCCTGGCCCATCCTGGAGTCTGGCAACCCAGCTGCCCAGGATTTACTAAATGGCCGCTTGCTTAGGAAGACTAAAGACATTAGAATATAAACTCCCTTCGAGTTGACTGATGTGAGACTCTTGTACTTTATGTCGGGGAGAGGGAAAGTAACACGGAATCACCACTCTTCGGGAGGCATCCCCCAAAGGACAGGAGGTCCCACACGGCTGCTTGGCTCAGAGGCTGGGTGGGGGGGAAGCTCTGGTGAGCCGCAGCCCCTCCTCAGACAAAAAGGGACCCTGCCCCGCCCTGCCCCGTGGGCTCAGCCCGCCAACGCACACGGATGGTGCCCCCTGCTAGGCTTCATGAAGCCACAAGACCACGGCAAAGTCAGGAGGCCCTCCCCCGGTCCCCCCCCCCATGGGGAATGTAGGTGCCAGTCTTCCTGCTGCCCGGTCTCCGTTTCCCATTTGTGGCACTGTGGAGGGGGGATGTACTGGTTAAGTGCGTGGACTCTAATCTGGGAGAACCAGGTTTGATTCCCTGCTCCTCCACATGCAGCTGCTGGTGTGACCTTGGGTCAGTCACAAGTTCTTTCGGAGCTCTTCTCTCAAGGGCAGTCCTTTTTTTCGGAAGAGCCCTCTCAGCCCCGCCTCCCTCACAGGGTGTCTGTTGTGGGGGGAGGAAGGGAAAGGAGTTTGTAAGCTGCTCTGAGACACCTTTGGGTAGTGAAGGGCGGGACATACATCCAATCTCTTCTCTTCTTCCATAAACCAGACCAAAAGGACCGGGACTCAGGAAAGCAGAACTCTCCCCCCCCCCAACACACACCCAGCTCGTGCGGTGGCCTGGCCAGCGTCTCGTCTGGCTGCATTCCTGGCTGCTGCCTGACCCGTTGGACTTGCAGTCGCCGCCCCCCCCCCCAGCCCCGCCGCCTGGGGCTCAGCCATTCTCTTTCTTCCTCCTCCTGCTGCCGCTGTGAAGGAGGACAGGCAAAACCCCTCCCCCAGAAACCAGAAGGAGCCGTGTCCCAGCCCGCTCACCTGGCTCCAAGGCGCCCTCTGGGGTCAGGGAGGAGTCCCTGGGCGGCTCCCAGGTGCTCCCCGTGGCATTCCAGTCCGGCGCCTCCCCGGTCCCTGGCGGAATCCTGGATCCAAAGAGGCCTGAGGAGAGAGCAGTGGGGTGGAGTGTCAGGTAGCCCTGCCATAGAGTTGGAATGTGGAAGGGTGCACCTCCTCCTCCTCCTCCTCCTCATTCCCAGCTCATCCCTGTCTAGCTTCTGGCTGCTATCTCCGGCCTGACCTTGTTGTCGTTCTCCAGCTGCATGTTAACTCGCCTGGGAAAGTTAATGGCTTATGCTTGCTTGCTTGCTAGCTTCAGCCCGTGCACACGAAATATACTCATTGGCTTTGGCATATGGGGGGGGGGTTTGATTATACTATAAGTCAGTGGCCATCATACTGACACAAGCTGTACACTCGTTCTTTAGTAGATAAGGTAAAGGTAAAGGTTCCCTTGCTCGAAAGCCAGTCAAATCCGACTCTAGGGTTGCGGTGCTCATCTCCGTTTCAAAGCCGAAGAGCCAGCGCTGTCCGAAGACGTTTCTGTGGTCATGTAGCCGGCATGACTAAACACCAAGGCGCACGGAACGCTGTTCCCTTCCCACTGAAGTGGTACCTATTTATCTACTTGCAATTTCTTGCTCTCGAACTGCTAGGTTGGCAGGAGCTGGGACCAGAGACGGGCGCTCACTCCGTCATGCGGCACCCGGGTCTCGAACTGCTGAACTGCTGAACTACTGACCTTCCACAGCCTGCAGTTCAGCGTCTTAACCACTCGAGCCACCGCAGCTCCGCAGTAGTAATGGACTACCAATAAAACACTTATCTTTGCAAGAAGCCTTTGTGGGTGGTGTGACCTGGCTAAGGAGCCTGAGATAGAGGGGGGCCCACGGAGGGCTCAGGCCCTGGGCTGGCGGGATCCCCACCCCCACCTGTGGCATCAGTCCTTGGGAACCCCAAAGCAAGGGGGCCCACAGAAGTCCCATCCCTCGCCTGAGCAGCTCTTGGCACTGGCAAGGGTGCCCTAGAAGAGCCCCGGGCACAGCCCACCCGAGGAGCCACTTGGAAAACAAGAGAGACGATCGGCACGCCCATCCAGGCCTCGTCAGGCCAAAGGGAATCCTGGCCTCCCCCCCCGCAAAGAGAGTTATGTCCCAGTTAATGGCTGGCAATTCTTTTCCCTTCCCCTTCCCGGCTGATAAACGTTGCCGGGGTTTGATGCTGCTGCTCTGGGTTAGAGGCTGGTGTGGGTGCATGTCCAGATGATGTACCTTTGGCCTCTGCGCGCCCGATTTATATCGATACTGATATGTATTAATAAGACCCCCAGCCCCACGGCAGCCCCCATGCACGCTCTCTGCCCCCGCAGAGACACTCACCGGGAGCCTCCCGCAGTTTGCTGG